GACCTGAAACGTTAACTCTGATTTCTCTCCACAGATGCTGCCAGACCTGCTGAGCTTTTCCAGCAATTTGTAGTTTTATCTCTGATTTGCAGCATCCTCAGTTCTTATTTAGGATTTTTCTTTTCATTGCATGTTACTTAAGTGAATGTTATGTACCATTTATGAACCTAGGCCTGGATGTTATCTAGGTTCTGTCATTGGCTGACATGGGTGATGCATTATTAGAGAAATACCTGATGAAACTCAGCAGGGCTGGCAGCCTCTGTGTGGAGGAAGCAGTGTTAATGTTTCGAGTCCGGTGACCCTCAATCAGAACTGCTGATGAAGACTGGCCAGACTAGAAAAATTAACTCAGCTTTCTCCCCACAGTTGCCGTCAGACCTGTTGAGTTTTGCCAGAAATTCCTGTTTCTGTTTCAGATCTCCAGCATCCACAGTTTTTTGTTTTATTTTGTTATCAGAGAGGTTGTGAATGGAACTAAACATCAGTGAACGGCCCACCCTTAAACACACATTGGAGCAAAATTGTGATGAAGCAAATGAAGATAGTTGGGCTGAGGCCAGTGGCCTGAGACAGTCCAGCAGCAAAATCCTTGAGAATACCATGATTTTGCTAAGTAGAAGAATAATGTCTCATTTGGAATTCCTCGTTTTTTTTAACTAGTCAAATTTAACACAACAGCAAATACAGATCATGATTTTGACTACCAGCAGCCACCATCAGTTCTGAGGAAGGGTCACCGGACCCGAAACGTTAACTCTGATTTTTCCTCACAGATGCTGCCAGACCTGCTGAGCTTTTCCAGCAACTTCTGTTTTTGTTCCTGATTTACAGTATCCACAGTTCTTTTGATTTTTATTTTGGCCACCAAATTGTTTTCATGTTGTTAAAATATTTTACAGCATTGTGTTCTGACAATATTAACTTGCTAAAATATTGCTTTCTCTGATTAATAGGGTCTACAGATTTTCATTCTGTTTACTGCTCGCCGTAAAGCATTTCAAAAGATCTATGCAGCCTGGGATTCCAGATTTGATATGAACATCAGTATTGTCCATTCAAAAAGATTCTCGTTTCAAAGTTTAAACATTCCAGGAAATAGAGAACAGTACACACAATATGACACAGTAAACTTCTCCGAAACCTCAAGTTCTATACCTTCCATTTTGTATTAGAATGCATTTTTGAGACAGGATACATTCTTTTTGTTGTTCTTCCTTAAAGTGCTCTTAGTTTCTTGATGGCTACAATAATGGGATAATATGTTGTGTTCCTGGCAAAATTCAACAGTAATATATCATCAACACTAGGTGGACTTGTCATGAAAGGAAATGATTTACATTAGCTTCTGATTCATTTCCAGCCTGAACACTGCATTACTGTAAGACAGTATTCTTCGCGCAATAACTGCGTGTGTGATTGTTAAATTTGAAGCACATATAAAGCTGAAACTAGAATAAGTTACCGTTCCACATGGTGTGTGGTTGTATTGGTCACTTTTTTTGCATTGTCAACTATTTGATTGATTTCCTAGATCATGTGCATTGAGGGTGTTGATGGTGATAAATTAGGTGGGTAAATGGAGTTTGATATCTCACCAGCCATATGTAAATTGAATGGGTGAGTAGGCTGAAGGAGTCATATGATCCAAACCAATTAGTATGGCTAAAATTTGGCACCCTCCGGGAGCAAATTCACAGTGTAAAGTGTGTAAAATCAGTGGTGATGGCAGGAATTGCCTTCTTAACCCTGATGGTATTTTACCAGTGATGGTGTACACTTTAGGCAGACTAATAAGACCCCAGGTCAGTTCCTGCTGCCACTGATATTTTACCAATGGTGGGGAGTACCCACACCATATGGAGAACTGGGCGAACCCACCTTTTCAGGTACTTGTGCCCAACAGAATGTCTCCAGAAGGGAAATGGTTATAGACTGACGGCAGTCCCGATATTAAGCATTGTTCCTAGATTCAGATGCTGGCCAGTAGCTCTTGGAGGTGGCTTGTCCTCCCACATGATGGTGAAGGTCATGACCTTTGGCAGTGAACTTGCTGCCAACCATCCAGGGTAGGCAGGCACAGTGGTGAGGCAACTATCACCATGTTCCTGTTCATGAAACCTGACCATCAACTAATTGAAAGTCTGGCTACAATTCTATAGATAATATTAAAATAACACATCATTTTCTTCCTTTCTTTCAGTTAGACCGTTTTAAAAGGATTATGTTTTCTGCTGACCCTATTAACAATAAATGAGAATTAACGGGGGGTGGCAAAACGTACCATTAGGTTACAGCAGATGGCTCTGATGTATTATTAATTTGGAAAAAGGCGAACATTCTATGAATTCAAATCAATACAAGAATAACCTTACATTTTGTTTTTAGCACTAATCAAAATTAAACAATTCTGAAATATCGATCAGTTATCAAGTACTATCAAGTCAGACATATTGGAGTAGAATCTGTCTCTGCTATTAGATTCATTTTGTTGATGTTCCTTGGCCTGAACTGGAGGAGATAGCAAGTGAGGGAAATCTGTTTCTTCAATGAGTTTTCTTCTTCCTCTCCCTCCAACTATGTCTAGGTGCAGACATGACTTCCACTGGTAGGGTGGAAGGGGCCTGCGCTGTGGTTGGCTCTATCACACCAACAACCAGCTGGTGTGGCTGCTGTATGGATACTGCAAGCTCTGCTAGGTCATGGAATGGACTGGGCTGCATCTCAGGCTACTCGCTTGGTCTTTTAGAGTTTGCTCGCATAGTGCTTACCTGTGTGCACACAGCATCCATGCCTTGCGTTACCATTCAGCAGCCTGCCTTACCGGTCAGCCATCCTCATTCAAGGGGATATACATCTTGCTGTACGCCAGTATACTAAATCAATCTCACATCTGCACCTTGTGCCAGCAAGCAGGTAGTCATGTCTCAAAGCCTTAGGGTATTAGCCCTCATCAAAGTCCATGGAGGACCCATCAGTCAGGAGTCCCAGCACAGTAAGTCAAGGCTGATACCTGTCGAGGGGACTGGGTGCAGTCAGGCCTCTGCTTAGGACGTTCTTGATCAGGGGCTCTATGCTCTTGTAGTCCAGGAGTGGGTCATGGTCAGTTCTGTAGCTCCATAGTGCTGTGGCAGAAGAGTCGGGGAGGGGAGGAGGAGCTGGTAAATTGTTGGGTGGAGTTAAACTAGGGCTTTCACAGTTGGGTGGATGTACAGCTGCCTGTCAGTGATTTGGGGACGTCTTTGGACGTCATCCAATTAGGATGTTCCAGGGGATGGGCCATGGTCAGTCTGTCTTGTCCACCCATAGAAACTCAGGGAAAAGAGGAAGGGGGAAACAAGGGGGCCACTAGTATAGGAAAGAGACTCGGCAATTTATTCTTTGGGGCTAGGGGTCTGCTGTTCTGAAGAAGGGTCAGTGGACCTGAAATATTAACTCTGCTTTGTTTCCACTCAGACTTGCTGAGTTTTTCCAGCAGTTTCTGTTTTTGTTTTGCTCTTCTGTTGGTATTGCCCCAGACATCACTGAATAATTCGTTCACACCAACACTTTTGGACACAGAGATCGGAAAAGAATAGGAATGTTGTAGAACTGGGGACAATGGTATCAGCAGGTCCCACTGTCCTAGAAACCTCTTGTTCCTCTTGCTCCCAGATGCTGCAGCAAGCTCTCACCACAAACATCAATCCATAGTACATCATGTATGGCCAACAAGTTATTCCTCATGCTGGAACAGTTATATTTGGGGCTACACAGAGAGACAAACAGCGAGATGTAAATTGAATGCAGTATCATTTACAAAATAAGTGCAAAATAGCATTCAGTGCAGTATCACCCATGTCACAAAAGTTCCGTTAGTAAGTGTGTTTCTTCTTCTCCTTCCAACAATGCCTTAGTGTAGTCTCTGGTCCTGCAGGTGGGCCTATGGAGCCCATTGGCCCTGGAGGTTAGGTCAGGTGGCCCTGATTGCCCCACCACAGGGTCCTCTCATGCCTGGGCTCAGTAGATGCCTAGTCTCTGGCAGTTGCCTGAATGCCAGCGCCCTGGAGTGCTTCTTCCTCAGCCAACTGCAGAGCTGCCATAATAAGGTGCTCACCAGATTGTGGTCTCACTTCCTAAGCCTAACGTTCTTACCGAGGTGTCAGTATCCAGCTGGGGGTGCAGGAGGCAGTGTTGCCAATGATTCCTCTGAGGCCTCGGGCCTACCCTCCTGGGACTTCTGGGGGAGGCAGCCATTTTATTGTGGAGGTGCTGGACATGCTGATGGTACTTTCAAGACAAAAGAGAGAGAAGTTATTGCAGCCAATGGTTAGAAGTGGTATGTAATAAATGACACTGACACTGAGTGTGAGGAGTGACACTTGCTTGGTTGGCAGGTCACTCATGGATGTTTTGACATCCTTGAGGAGCAAAGAGCAAGATGGCGACGACAGAGTAGGCAGTGTCTGGGCTCCTGTGCACTGGCTTATCCTCTTTGCCCGCTTTTTTTTTCTTTTTCTTTTTCCTTTTCCTCCTCCCCCTTCTTTTCTCTCAAACATACCTGATAAAGACAGCTCTTCGCCGGTCAGGCAGCTTCGATGGGCTCTGGAGCGGTGGCCTCTTCAGAGACAGCATGGCTACAGAGTCAGTCGGCCTGTGAAGCCCGGAGCAGGACTCTTGCTTCTGTGTGGAGTGGGCCCCTGGTGGCAATGTGGCTTGGGGCTGGGACTCTGGCTGCGGCATAGCGTGGGCTGTTGAAGCCCAGAGTGGACCCTGGCAGGGGCAAGGCAGATTCTGGCAGTGGCATGACATGGGTGGTGTAGTCCAGATCAGTACTATAGCAGCGGAGAAGGAAAAGTTGGACTCTCTTTAAGTTATCTTTTTTAAAAATTTATTCTAAGTTAATGTGCATGGCACCAATGTACAGCGATGGCACACACTTTTTGCTGTATTTTATATTGAATACACGTGACAATAGATGATTCAATTCAATTCTCAATTCATTTTCAATCTTGTCCTGCAAGGGCAAGGATTGTCTCCTTGTATGGGGTGAGGAAGCTAATGTCGGACATCTTCCACTTGTATGGGCTCTCCCTGCCCTGTTATTGGCTGTCTTCCTTGTAATGAGAAAAAACGGGATGAATTGCATGAGATGAAAGTGGGTGTGGCAGATGTTAGTGCTGGTGCAGGTGCAGGAAATAAGGTGAAATGTTCAGAGGGCGTGAGTAGTCAGCCCATAAAGCAAGTGGTGTTAGTAATATGGGAGTTTGGGGAGGCAGGGGAGCAGAGGAGATGTTGAAAGCAATGGTGGGAGTGGCAGATCATGACACTTGGAACGAGTCAGTGCAGTTTCAGAGACAAAGTGAGTGTGAGATCTCAGAAAGAAGACTGGCACTTATCAAGGTGGAACAGGACAGTTCATTGACCTTATGTCACTGCCGGCCATTCCTCCACATCTTGGAGACAGCATTGAACTGGCTGGCGGCATTGGAGCAGGCTGCCATGATCAGGTGGCACCGCCTCTTCTGCCAATCCTGTAGGAAGAGGGCTCTCTTTGCCCCATACCTTGGCCAGGACCTCCAGGTTGGAGAATCTTAGTGGCCCTCCCCCCTACCCTATCCTTGTAACCCTGCATTTTCCATGGCCATTCCACCTAACCTGCACACTTTTGGACTGTGGGAGGAAACCGGAGCACCCAGAGGAAACCCACGCAAACAAGTGGAGAATGTGCAAACTCCCCACAAACAGTCACCTGAAGGTGGAATTGAACCCAGGTCCCTGGTGCTTTGAGACAACAGAGCTAACAACTGAGCCACCATGCCAACCAAATACAGTGAGAAGTGAGTGATTGCATGTGACAACTCCCCATGTGCCAAGGCAAATGATGACATGAAATTTGCTCACTGCCATTTTTTTTATCTTCAACTGGGAAAATCATGGCCTATATTCTTTTCTTAGCTTTGTGGCAAGAAATTCTGAATATCTACTTCAACACAGGGGTGGGTAAAGAAGTACTTGGGTCAACAATTCATCTTAAAGGTTATTCATGACTTCTGTGGAAATGAAGCCAGTTGAGTATATTGACCACATAGAGTCATAGAACTGTGCAGCATGGAAACAGTCCCTTTGATCCAACTCAGCTATGCCAAACAGATATCCTAAATTAATCTAGTCCCATTTGCCAGCATTTTGCCCA